GAGCATGGGAGGAGGTGACACGGGAACTAGAGAGCAGAAGGTCTTGGGAGGATTGAAAAGAGTGGTTTGGTTGATATTTTGAGACCAGGTTGATGATGTAGCGGGGGGCAGAGTTGTGGATGGCTTTGTAAGTTGTTGTTAGTATTTTGAATTTTATTAGTTGGGCAAGTGGAAGCCAGTGAAGGGATTGGCAGAGGGGTGGCAGACACTGAATAGTTGGTAAGGTTGATGAGCCTGTCAGCAGCATTCATGATGAACTGGAGGTGACATAGCCTATGTAAAGGTAAGCCAGCGAGGAGGAGTTGCAGTAGTCGAGTCGAGAGATTACCAGGGAGTGAATTAAGAGCTTTGTGGTATCAATTGTTAAAAAGTGGGGTATTCTGGAGATGTTGCAGAGGTTGAGGCAGCATGATTTGGACAGGGATTGAATGTGGGCCTGAAAGGATAGTTCAGAATCCAGGGTTACACCTAGCACCTTGGCATGCAGGGATGGGTTGATAGCGATGTTATTGATCCTGACTGAGAAATCAGGGGAAGAGGCACGTGGGGGAGGAAATATTATGAGCTCAGATTTGGACAGATTGAGATTTAGGAAGTGGAGTGACATCCAGTCTGATATGTCTGATAGTAAATCGTTGATACATGTGGAAACTGATGGGGTGAGCTGAGGAGTAGAGAGATAGATTTGTTTGTCATCAGCATAGAAATGGTATTGGAAACCATGGGAAGCTATCAGCTGCCCCAAGGAAGAAGTGTAGATTGAAAATAGGAGAGGTCCAAGGACAGAACCTTGGGGGACCCCGACAGTAAGAGGAGTAGGAGAGGAGGAAATAGAGTTGTAAGTGACACTAAAGGTGCGGTGAGATAGGTAAGATTCAAACCAATGGAGAGTATAGTCACGGAGCCCAAGTAAATAGAGTTTTTTTGGGGAGGAGGGGGTGGTCAACTGTGTCAAAGGCAGCAGAGAGGTCCAAGAGCAAGAGTACGGAATAGTGATCATTGGTTTTAGCGGTTAGTAAGTCGTTTGTGAGTTTTAGGAGAGCAGTAGGAGAGCAGTTTCTGTCGAGTGTTGTGGGCAAAATTTAGATTGAAGGGATCGAGAAGGTTATTTGCAATAAGGTGGCAGCTCAGCCGGTTGTAGACTAGACATTCAAGGCGTTTGGAGGCAAAAGGGAGTAAGGAGATGGGTCTTAGGTTGTCAAGATTGGCGGGGTCCAGTGAGGATTTTTTAAGTATGGGGGGTGGCGGTGAGATTGAGAGATATGACTTAAAGAATGAAGGATAGAGCCAGAGGGTGACCGTAGTATTTGCAAGGTAACAGGGTCCAGGAGGCAGGTGGTTAGGTGGGCTTTAGAAAACAGTTTACCAACCTCCTCTATAGTAGCTGGGTTAAACAAGGGAAGTATAGATTGTGCAGATGAACAAGGAGTGTAGGGTGAGGGAGATATCTGTACAGTGGAGATCTCGTCACAAATTGTATCAATCTTATTTTTGAAGTGATTAGCAATCTCGTGGACAATGACTGAGTTAGTGGGTGGAGGTAGAAAAGGATAAAGTTGAGAGTTAAAGGTAGAAAAGAGTTGATGGGGATTGCATGATGAGAGGGTGTTAATGAGAGTGATAAAATAGGTCTGATTGGCAGTGTGGAGACAAGAATTGTATTTTTGAAGGGCAAATTTATATTGGTCGAAGTCTTGCTGGGTTTTAGTCTTACGCCACAAACGCTCAAGAGCACGGCTACATGTTTTGAGGCATCTGGTATTGTCTGTTTGCCAGGGCTGTAGCAGTCGGGGCCTAATTCTGTGTGTAGTGAGGAGGGCCAATATGTCCAGGGTGGATGACAGTGAACTATTGTAGACAGAAGTGGTCAGGTTGGGGCAGGACAATGCTGAGATTTTGTCATAGAGACAATCTGTTACCGAAAAAAGAAGAGAAGGGTTAAAGATAATGAAGGTTTCTATCTGGTAGTTGGTAGTTGGAAGACAAGGAGGAGGAAGCCAAGAAGAGAGTGAAGTTAATAAGGGAGTGAATCAGAGAGAGGAACAGGAAAGTTGGTGAGGTGGCAAGGAGTGCATAGGTAGGAGAATACAAGGTTGAGGCAGTTACCATTCGAATGAGTAGAAGCATGTGTCCATTGTTTTAGGTCAAAAGAAGTGGTTAGGCTCAGAAGTTTAGAGGTAGCAGGAGTGTTAAGATTAACAGGGATGTTGAAGTCACCAAGAATGATTGTGGGAATTTCAGAAGAGAGAAAGTAAGGCAGCCAGGCAGAGAAGTCATCAGGAAGCTTGGTACCGGTCCAGGAGGAGATAGATCACAGCAATTCTTAAAGAAACTGGAGAGAACAGACGAATACAGTGAACTTCAAATGAGGGGGACAGAGAGGGAGGTGAATGGAGGACCTGAAAAGTGTTTTTGAGGGGATAGGAGGATTCCTACTCCAACTCCTTTCCCTCCACTAGGCCTGGGAGAGTGAGTCCAGAGGAGACCACCATGGGAGAGGGCAGCAGGAGAGGGAGAGTCAGATTCATGAAGTCTGGTTTCGGTAATTGCAAGCAAGTTAAAGGAGTTTGTGATAAAAAGGTCATGTACAGAGGTGAGTTTGTTACAGACAGAGCGGGCATTTCAGAGGGCAGAGGAAAAGGGGAGGCTGGTTCTATGAAGAAGAGGAATAGTAACTAGATTGTGTGGATTGCAGCTGCTGTTGAAGAATAGGGGGTGCCGTGTGTGTTGATCCAAGGAAAAAGATGGCGGCCCAGGATTTGGGGAAATGTCTCCAGATGTTAGGAGAAGCAGAAGGGTGAGGGAGGTAATATGGGAGTATGACTTAAATGGAGGGACAGGTTCCAGTGTCCTGGAGGTTTTATTAGTGTTTGGGTTCAGAATTATCAGAGGTTGATGAGTACAGTAATAAGGTGAAGAAAGGAGTGAGGGTAATATATATAAGCTGTGGGGTGGAGAGGAGGGGTGAAGGAGAGAGACTTTGAAGAGAAAGGAACAACTGTGAGAAGGAGGAGTAGGGAGTGCAGTAGGGAGTGCATGTTACAGAGTGGTGAGCAGAAGAAGCAGACTGGATAAGATCTGAAAGAGCTGGATGGGGAAACAGGTCACCTGTAGTCTGATTATTTGAAGTTGTCTGCTATTGTTTCTCGCTTTGTGCAATCGCTGAAGTGCAGAGCCGAAGTGTAATACTTAATCCACGATCAATACTTTATCCATGATGATAGTTGCCAATGCTACCCTGTGGCTGTGCTGCTCCTGGCTGTGCCTCCCCTAAGGAAGGCCTAAATTTATGCATGCATATAATCCTCTTTTTGAAATAAGCATATGGTGATACAATATACTTATTTTTCCAGAAATCACCTGTTGGGCTTTTGTGGTATATGCTAATTCCCCATTTCTGGAATCTGTTATTATATGGTTCCAAGTACCCCCTAAAACTTCTGGGATGTAACCTTGAAAGTTCATGGTATATAACATCAGTGTTATTGGATACCAGTTAATATATATAAAACATGGACAATCCTTTATAATGCTGACCCTCTGCTTGGGTGAGTATGTTTTTGTGTTTAGTTTATGAAAGAACTTTAAAGATCAATGGATTGGATTTAGAAGACTGAAAGTGATATACCAGTATAATCAGTTTTATATTGTTTCTGTTAAAGGTACTAAAATCTGTTTGCTTTTGAAGGATAAGTTCACCTCTGGAACATGTTACCCTAAAAACAGGTGGAACAGGTGTTCCCATAGCCGCAGCTGTGCCTGCTGCCGCCCCCCCCCCTCCATCTGACAGATAATACTGGGAGAAGTTTCCCCGTACTAACTGTCAGATTTGAAAACAGCCCATGTGGCCATGTCACTCATTCACAGAGCTCTGTGAATGACTGCCTACAAGTTCTGGCAGCCTTAGCGGCTTTGGGCTTGTAGTTTTCAATGAACTACCACGGCGCTGTGGAGCTCCGTGATAGTTCATTGAAGCTTCCTGACAGCATATCTGCTTGACCGTGAATCCCAGTATGGCAAGCAGATATTCTGACAGGTCTGCAGGAGACTTGCATGGCATGAGCGATCTACTGATTGCTGGTGCAATGCTTTCCAGGCTCCTTTGGACAAAAATAATAAATGTACACTTTTTTTACCTGCAAGGTGAATATAAGACATCAGTGGAGAGGAGCCTTTTGGTTCCCTTCTTCCCTCCACTTCACCACTGCTTTTCTTCTCTCTCTATGACTGCCTGCCAGACCATCCAGTGCTATATGTATACTACAGGTCAGTATCTTCATTCAAGCATATTCCGTTTATTACATGTAACATGTTTTATATGATGTTTTCTTTTTTTTTTGCTTATCTTATTCTATGTATTGATACATTCATTTTTTTATAGTTAGTTTGCACCTACATACCCTCTTTGTCCCAAAGAAGCATCTAACTGCAAAACGCATTGATAGATCTGGATTTGGAGTAGCATGCCTGTGCTTATACAGTGAATATTAGACATATGTGTGCTTAATAATTCAGGCTAGCTTTCATACCAATCCAGTAGAGGGTGCAAATATATGTTTTTATTTGTCCAGTATATATTTTTCTGGATATCCTATTTTTTCATGTACTACTATATTGCATTTGTAATAAACCTATTTTGTTTTCATATATGTGTCTTGCGGTGTGCCTATAAAGTCCATATATATTTGGGAACTGGTGAAGAGTAGTTCTCTTCTCCGGGTTCTTTCCTTATTTGTTCTCTGATTACTTTCAGTGTGGCACTTTGATAGTTCCTATTATACCAGGGCTGGACATTAAACCTCAACTCCATTGTTAGTTGAGGATAGAGTGGGAAAGAGTTAAAAACTGTATCAGGTTTTTTTTAATATCTCTCCTTACTGTGAAGGATTTTCCTCCCTTTCTCTCACGGCAGTGTCCATATGTCAGGGAACAACAGTCCCAGTGACAAGCTGTCCCATCTGTCAATAAAATAATACATTAATTTAAATTTCAAATATTACCAGTTCATTTCTCTCATCCACAAGTAATGTATTTCTGTCCTCCAGTTTTCGGATTGTTGCATTTAATTCCGCCATTCTTTTCTGATTTCTGCGTAAATCCTGAAAAGCAAAAAGTTTTAGGTTTATCAGTTTACATAAATAACAGAATAAGTTAGCCATAGCAATTTACTTATCTGGTGTTTATCTAATATTAGAATGATTCCCTATAATTTTGCCTTGCAGTTTCTTTAAAATGTATTCCAAGTATCAGCAGGCTGCTGGATTAGGCCTCATGTACATGGGCTTATGAAAATAAGCAGCATTTCTCTGCCAGAATTTGGCATAAACAAAATGTTTCTAATGCTGCAATATGTATGCGCACTTATGCGTGTATGGTGTTTGAGCATAAATGCATTCTACTGGCCAGAATAATAATTTCATGTGTTTAGACTCATTTGCGTGCTCATGTGCGTTTTTGTGCTCATAAGCTCCTCTCATAACGCACCTATGGTGCTTTTTCTCTGTCTCTGAATGCTCCTCTTCAAATACTCCTTTAAAAGCCTATTGATTTACTAAAGGCAAATACAGTGAAACAGCAAGTGCACGTGCTCCAGAGCTTAGTAAATGAGGTAAAGCTTCACTTTGCAAAGAACACCCAACCACATGCAAGGAAAAAAAAAAAAAAAACCTGTATTTTTTTGCTTGCACTTGATTCAATGATAGAAATCAGTACAGTTTCCCTTCAGATCTAGAGCAACTGCACATGCAGTGCACAGTATATTTGCCTTTAGTAAATCAATCTCATGTGCATGACCACATAGGCTAACATAGAGGTGCTTTTACAGGCATAAAAAAAAATGCTGAACATCTGTATAAATGTCATTTTTTTAAATGGGAACTACACTGCATCTGAATACCACAAACCGCTTCCCGACCACCTTATAGCAGAAATACTGCTACAGGGCAGCATATATACATGATTCATGCCCCTGCAGTGTTTGTGGGCTGGGGGGGTGCACACACGCCCCCGCCAACCCGTGGGTGCCGTGATTTGATCCCCAAGGGGTCAATCATCCGAGTGATGTTCAGCCTAAATCAAATGATTGATCCCTGCCCTATCAAGAAATCTTTCTGTACCTGTGTTTACACTTACATGGGTACAGGAATTTATGACATCTACGCTTTCACAGTTAGTACACTTTTAGGACACATTTAACCCCTTCATCATCCCCCCAGTTAACCCTTTCACTGCCCTGTTACCAGTGTCATTAGTACAATGTACAAATTTTTTGCTGATTACTGTATTAGTGTTGCCGGCAGAATAGCAAACAAACTTATAGACAGCAGTGGCACCCTGACAGGTAGCTCAGATGATGGAGAAGAGGTCCCTGCTAAGGTCAGGTGTACCCAACCCCATTCCCAGGTTGCTGAGATGTTACAATCGCATGATGATTCTCATATGCAGCAAAGTGCCAGTACTAGTGCTGCTCTACCTTTTGGTGAACTGGCGAGCCCCAGCGGCCTAGTACATCCTGGTCTTATACATACCAGCACTGCAGTATCATTTGGTGACGTGGCGAGTCCAGGGGCGGACTGACAACTCATGGGGCCCCTGGGCAATAGGGGATCATGGGGCCCCTGTGTCCTTGCCCAAACTCATAAAAGTCTATGAAAAAGGTACCAGGGGCATCTCATGGGGCCCCCTACTGACCCCGGGCCCTCGGGCAGTGCCCGAATTTCCAAATGGTCAGTCCGCCCCTGGGCGAGTCCCATAAGTGCAGTACAAGCTGGTGCGGTGGCAAGCACAAGTAGTGTCCCGTAGCCACCAAGAATTCGCACACAGGCCTGTAGAGCCCCTAGTATCCTTCCGGACATGCTTGCAAATCCCGATTGGCAGCCCACAAATTCTGCAGCATCCATACTTCCCCCATTTAATGCCCAACCCGGAATTCAGGTGGAAACAGCAAATTTAACTGCTCCCTTTGATTTTTTGGAGCTGTTTTTCAAGGAAGATCTGTATGCATTGATTGTGGATCAAAGCAATTTATATGCATAGCAGTTTATTGCTGCCAACCCAACTTCAAGCCTTTCTAGACCATTCGCATGGAAACCCATTACTGCTTCCGAATTTAACGTTTTTTTTGGGCCTAACCCTCAACATGGGCATTACTAAAAAAAATGAATTGTGGTTGTATTGGTCCACAGACCCGATTCATCATATGCCCGTATTCTCTGCTGCCATGGTCAGGCATAGATATGAGAGTATAATGTGTTTTATGCATTTCAATGACAATACACTCTGTCGTCCTTGGGGTGCCCCTGAATTTAACTGGCTCCACAAAATTTGGCCCCCAAAGACTTGCAGATGTCTATACTCCCCAGCAAAACATCTGCATTGATGAGTCTCTTATTAATTTTTCTGGCCGCCTTGCATTCAAACAATTTCTCCCCAGCAAGTGTGCCAGCTATGGGGTCAAGATGTATAAGACCTGTGAGAGGGAAAAAAGCTATCAAATACCACCAAAAGAAAGCTCTATTTGTGTGGAAAAAAAGGACATAAAGTTTTTTTGGGTATAGCGCAAATACCAGTTGAAATAGTGCAGCGCAGAATAGCAAAAAAGGGCCTGGTCAGGAAGGCGGGTAAATCCTCAGGAGGGCAAGTTGTTAAAGCAAACTCATCTATCCATCCATCCATGTCTCCATGCTTTATTTTGCTGAGAAACCTCTTTCAAAAACATTCCCTAGCATTTCTGGCCATAGCCATCTTGAGTAAGAGCAGATGATTCATGTAGCATTTACTTCCTGGAATCCATCTGCCCTTAACTCATGCAGGCAGGAGGGTGTGCTTAGTTGAGAAAACCCCTCCTCCCCTCCAAAAGACTTCTGGGATGTATGACAACATTTGCTTAGGCCTTTAAACCAGGAAGTAACTGAAGAAATGTAAAAAAAAAAAGTTTAAAACAAATAAATATGATATGCTTTCTTATCAATTTACTAATGCTAGCAGCATAAGTATTAAAAATGGTCAATGTTAATTGAAAGTGAGGTTTGGGCTTAAACTTCAAGTGAATGAGGCCTAAATCTTTCCATAGCTGTTGTGGTAAAGTGAGCATTTTTTACTATTAAATAGTGAGATATACAGTACTAGTTGCAATATGTGCAAATATTGTGGAAACCTTTCCTGCACTGAGATACAATTGTTGATCTGGTATAACTGCTTGAAATAATTTATTTGTTATAACAAACTGAACTCTGGTCAAACAACAAAATGCACAGTTGAAAAATAACTATATGTGAATAGCATTATCCACCAAAAAATTCTGTTCAGTTTGTGTGTGCCAAGGTCATTAAAGTGGTTCTAAAGGCATGACAATGTCTCAGTAAGTGTATCGTCCCCCCACCACCCTCCTATATCTATCCAGGACTCTGCCTATCTCCAGCCAGTTCTGGCTCTCTCTCCCTCTTCACACAGACACAGAGGTAGCAGGAGGAGCCATTGGCTCCTACTGCTGTCAATCAAATCCTGTGAGGAGGAAGCAGGTGTTGGGGTTGGACTGTGTTGTGTGAGTCTACAGACAAAGAAGAGAAGTAGCTGAGAGCACTGGTGAGGGACCCTAGAAGAGAAGGATTCAGACCTCTCTGGGCAATACCATTGCACAAAGCAGGTACATATAGCAAATGTATTATTTTAAAAAAGGAAGCCTTTACAATTTATCCTTCAATCTAGTTTAGCAGTACAGCTTATTCAGTGACCAAGATTCAGCCTGCTGCATAACAATGAAGGAACAGCAACACATTGATGAGGCCTTGTGCCTCCTTGTTCACCACATACAGATATGCAAAGCTTAACTCCCGGTCAACTCAAAGTGCCAATGCTTTCTCAGACAGACTCTGCAGTGATGTTAAATCAGTTACTACACAAGCTATATTTTAAATATTTCAATATAATGATAGAATAACTGGATGGAAGTGTATTTTTATAATTACCTAGCTTTGATAAGCAAATATGTTTTTTTGCTGTTATAATTAAAGTGGATCAATATAATTCTTGATGCATTTGGACTGAATGCATTCAGGTACCATTGTTGTACCTGATGATAAAATGATTATCAGCCTACATGTCAGTTATTGTACATTGGAGACATTCTATATAAGTTGGTACTTAAGAACTGTGCACGTATGTCCTATCAAATACAACTAAAGCAGAAGTCCCATTTATTATTATATGGCCAGTTCACACTTAATCAGTGCAGTCCATAAAAAATAGAACTTTTGAATTTTAGGGGGTTTTTTTTTGCATTATTGCCTGATAGCTGTTCTATCTTTAGCTAACCCATAGTGCTCTGAGAATCTTTTTCATGTCAAGATAGATAGATGAAATCAATTTGAAAAACTGATTATGCAAACATTTATAAATACACACTGTCCATGTAATAAAACAGTTGAAATGTTGAGGGCCTGTTCTCACCAGATACAGTGGGGCTGCACTGATAGCTATTTTCAGCACAGGGCACTGTGAAACACAACGCACACTGGTGGCCATGCGTTCATTGCAGCTCACTGGTGAAAACGGCCTTCAGTGAAATTACTTATATGTTGACATTTTTTAATTTGTGTTTCCCTTTTGAAATCATGATAAAGATAGAGTTCAAAGAATATTTTATTCAGACAACCACTATATGCAATACAAAATAGATGAATGGATGGATGAACATCTAATGTCCAAATAAAGAATAATACTGTAATGTTATTGCTACATTTCATAATCAAACTGCATTAAAGGGTACCTCTATCTTGTACTTGCACACTGTTTTACTGTGCTGAGAAACTAAAGCGCCACCAAAATGAGGGCACATTTACACTTGCTTCAACTTCAACACACATTAAAGTGCTTACCACTTCAAAATGCTTTTTTATGTGTCTTTGATGTTTCAGTGATGTTCCCATGATGTTTTGGTGATGCTTGGATGATGCTTCAATTATGCTTTTTTGAAGCTTGGAAAATTCCCTTCCATTTGTTTTGCTCAGTAGTACTAGTATCCCCAGCACTGCTGATGCCCCACTCAGTAGTAGCCCCCAGCTCTGCTGATCCCCCACTCAGTAGTAACCCCCAGCTCTGCTGATAACCCTCTGGTTTTCTGTTCCTCCTCTCTCTCTAGTCCCCGCTTGCCTTTTGCTATATTGCTCCCATGCTGCACAGCACGTGTGAAATTGATAGTTTTTCCTGCTCCTGTCCCCCAGCTTTGCTGATCCTCTGCTGCTCAGTCCTCTCTCTCCGGTCCCCACTCACCTTCTGTTACAGTATTTCCATGTTGCACACCATGTGTGCCATCTGATCCGGACGCCGCTCACCTTCCTGCTGCACACCAGATGTGACATCTTAATCAGACATTTCCAGAACATATACAAATGAACTGCTGGTGAGTCATTCTGAGAGCCAGCTGTTGTACAATGTCAGAAACACTCATGGAAAGCCTTGAGAGAAGAATGGAGGTTGTTATAGCCACAAAATGGGAAGGGGGGGGGGTGATGTGTGTGTGTGTGTGGGGGGGAGTTAGTGCCAACATGCCTAAGATTTGGAAAGAGCTGTCTTCAAAGCTCATCTAGGTATTATGGTCAGGTGTCCACAAACCTTTAACATTATAGTGTATGAGCTAGATATATATATATGAATATTGAATTTATTTTCAATATGTTATTTTCCTTAGGAGTACACTTATTTTGAAATTAAAAGTCCATGGTTCTAATAGAGTGGCTCTATTAGCTTTAAATCTGGATGGAAAGGTTTTCTTTTTAGTTTCCCAGTGCTTCCTGGAATATCCCATACCTGCAATACCTCCAAAACAAAGCGAAGCTAAAGCTGAATAAAAGCCTCTCAAAAGCTGCAGGTGCTGCAAGACAGTTTTGTCATAGACTTCTATGGAGGCTTCGGAGATGCTTTGAAGCACCAAGAAAGTGCCATGAGGTATAATTTTTGAAGCAAAGCAAAAGCAACGTGTATACAGAACTGTAAGTTAACCATTTTATTAAGTGACAGGGGCTTTGATGGTCATTCAAAGTGCTTTAAAAAAGCATGTCCGAAGCCACATTTTGAAGCAAGTGTAAACAAGCCCTTAGGAACATCTGTGACTGACTGCCTCTTCTAATCTGATAAAACTCTTAAATTACAAGGGGGAACTGTGAGGACCCTTCATACCTATGTGTTGCAGTAGCGTACAATTAGGTCCCTTTCGTCCATTGATGTGCTGCAGTGCCATTCATTTTGAATGCACATCCACAATGCATCTGAATTGTACTCTGCAAAGTACATCAACACATGACATAATAGGCATTAACGTAATGTACTGAAACAGACAGGTATGAAGCCAGTGTGTCACTAAAGCAGATGAGAAATTTCAATGTAGACTAAATTCCTTTACAACTAGCTGTTATTCATTTTCCACTGTGTTTTCAAAAGTTGATTTATCTTACCGGACTTCCACAGTGCTCGGATCCATCCCCTGCCCTTCCTGGGATTTCACGCTTGGGACTTCCCATGTTGCACTCAGCTTCTTTAACTAAAAATAATTGTTCATCCAAGGCATCCTTCTGTAACTGAAGCCTTTGCAGGGAGCTGGTTTGTGTCTCAAGCTCTTTTTCAAGAGAGAAGATGATCCTATCTTTTGCTTTAATCTCATCCATCTGAAAGAGTCACCAAGAGAAAGCATTTACTAGATAATGCAAAAATGTCAATTTTAAGGCCCTGCAATTACGTTTGTCCATTTGTCCGTTTTTCATCAATCCATTGACAGATGAAAAACGGTCACCAATACATCTCTATGGAAAAACGGATGTAAATGGATGATCATCCATTTACATCTGTTTACATCCGCATCTGTCAACATCTGTTTTTTTAAATGGATCAAAGCCCTATTTTTGTTCCTTAAAAAAAAACAGAATGGAAGAAAAACAGATGTAAATTGACAAACGATCATTTTTTGCATTGTAGTGATTGTAAAAAACTGATGTAAAAACTGATGAAAAACGAATGTAAACAAATCTGTTTTTTCTTTGAAAAAATGTGACTGAACTGATGAAACAAACTGAACCCCGTGTGAAAGGACCCTAAGGTGCAGTGTAAATACAGATATAATGTAACTACCATCCCATGTGAACGTTCCATTTTTCCTCAGTTTGAGGCACATATCATTGGTGTTATGTGGTAGACTTCCTACTTTAAATGCAGAAGAACCTCGAGGGAAACTATACTCTTTTATTTTTAGAACAAGCATGTTGATTCCATCAAGAAACCTCATGCATGTGCTTTTATAAACATTAGGGAAATAAAAAGCAGGGCATTAGTGGCCACTCAATATTAATACCTGGTACACATGCAAAGTTTTTTTTTCTGTTGAACAAGCAAGCTGAAAAAAAAAAAAAACAGAGGAGCTTGCAAGGAGACCACTGTACACATTATGCAATGTAAGTACAGCATCTCCCTGCTGTGCTATTGGGTTCTGACAGGGGGACTGCCCCCTCCCCCACCCGAACACACTGGTCAGCATTCGCAACTTAGGCACTCAACTGGTTTTCTAGCATGCTCATTTGACAGAAGCCTACTGTGAAATCGGCTTCTGTCAAACAAGGACCTGTACACACAGGCCAAATGTTGGCCGGTTTCTACTGTCCTGGCTGATTTCAGCCGATATACGGTTTGTTTGTACGGGGCTTAAAGAGACAGATATACATAAAGGATCATCAAGGAACCAGGAAGAACTGAGAGTCTTTAGAGTTGAAAACATGTAGCAACATGCAGTACAGCCAAAGGAACACTGAAACTATGAAGGTATGTCATTTGCGTTCTAATATAAACGTGCATTTCAAAAATTCTGCCTGTAGTCATGTCTTTGTATAGAACATCATTTTATACAGTTTTTGTGTTCCTCTTTCTTTTCTTTATCAGATTTTATTTACAGAACTTTTTGTTCCATCAAAAACACAAAAAAGATACGTGCACACAACCAGTGTTCCACTTTCCCTGACAGCTATATATACACACACAGATCAGCCATAACTTTATTACCACTGAGACCACTGAAAGGTAAAGTAAACAACAGTTACAATGGCATCTGAAAGTGGGTGGGATATATTAGGCAGCAAGTAAACATGTTGTCCCTAAAGCTGACAGGTTCAAAGTAGAAAAAAAATGGGCAAGCATAAGGATTTGAGCAACTTTGACAAGGGCCAAATTGTAATAGTTAGATGATTGGATCAGAGCATCTCCAAAAGTATAGTTCTTGTGAGATGTGCCTGGTCTGCAGTGGTCAGGTTTTACCAAAGTGGCCCAAGGAAAGGAGAACCCATTGACAGAGTCATGAGCAGCAAGGCCATTGATGTACGTGGTTAGCGAAGGCTAGCCTGTGTAGTCTGATCCAATAGAAAACTACTGTAGCTCAAATTGCTGAAAAAGTTAATGCAGGTTTCAATAGAAAGTGTTTCAATAGAAAGTGTTGGAACATGCATTGCATTGCAATTTATTGTGCTTGGGTTGCATAGCCACAGACAGGTCAGGGAGCACATGCTAACCCATGTCCACAGTCAAAAGCACCTACAATGGGCATGTGAGCACATTGACCACAGAGCAATGAAATAGGGTGTCCAGGTCTGAAGTATCATATTTTCTTTTACATTGAACACTGGGCAGTATTCTGCTGGGAACCTTAGTTCTATTTGTGTGAAAAAAATTATATAAATATAATTTGGGTACAGCATTGCAATTGCCAGTTAAAGTAACAATTGCAGAATAGCAAAAAAATGCCCTGGTCATTAAAGGGGTAAAACCTTCCTGCTTAAAACACATAAACCGCAGGGATGGATTTATGCTACTGGTCTCCACTTACAGCTAAAATATCACATTTGGTAGGCTAACCATTTCATGAGCTGACTATAAGTAATAAAAAAAATCTAAATACTGTACCAATAAAAAAAAAAAAATCTAAATACTGTTCCAATATATTAGTGGTTTTGAATAAGTAAAAAGTCTAATCTCACCAGTCTTCGAATGTCCCTTTCGCTTTCCCATTTAATCTTTGCAATAGCCTCCTGGTGGGAATGATGTTCACTTCTCAAATCCCCAGCTTTGATTTTGTCAGCCTGGATCATATTATTGAGAGCCTCATCCATTTGTTTCTTAGCAGATTTCAGCTCCGTGATCTCCTGTAAGAGCTTGAGGCGCTCAGAGTCAAACACTTTTCTGGCCTCTTCCCGTGCCTCTGTGCTCAGAGCTGTCCTTACTTTGTCACTGCTGCCATCACGAAGCGCATTAACAGCAGACTTTAGTCGCAGGATCTCTGCCTCTTTTAATTTAACCATCCGAGACATCTCCTGCTCATGCTGTTTGATTAAGTTCTCCCTTACTGCCTGGAGCTCCTTCATCTTCTCTTCATGCAGCTTAGCTTTCAATTCAGAAACAGTTGCAGTGTGTTTGTGTTGTTCCTGCTCCTTTATCCTTTTACTCTCTTGATTTTTCTCCCTTTCAAGCCGAGACACCTAAATGACATACAGGAAGGACAATATTATGTAAGATTCCAATTGCAGTTTAGATATCGAAGAACAATAAAGTAAAATTTTCGCAAAGTAAAAAAAAAGGCATCAGAAAGGAGCCTATACATTTCATTTAGTGTGTCTCAGTGTTGCATTGTTGGTACAATACTTTTACTTTATTGGTTTCATTGACCTTTATTTATGTTCACCTGTCATGAGGAAACTATGGGGGCTTCATTTGCTGTTTTTTTTTTTTTTTTTAATGTTTTTTGCCTGTCTGTGTTCAGATGCATACTTTTTAGGCCTCATGTACCTGGATGTGAAAAATGATGAGCATGCTATGAACAAATGTCAGAATTCTTTATCTCTACATTTGCACCAGGTTGGGTATTAAGAAAGCATTGAAGTCAATGAATCAGTATGACAGCTAGGCAGCTAACATTTTTGTAAAATGAAAGGTCAGCAATGGCAGTCTACATAATTCTCTAATTTCATCTGTATGTTCTCTACTGAATGATTTATATTTAATGTAGAACTATAGGCAAAACTTTTTTTTTTTCATTTTGGATAGAGTATGGGAGGGTTATAACCCCTGTCCATTTATTTTTTGCCATATGTGACCCATTGGGGAGATATACCTTCACTTCCTGTCCCATAGCCAAAACAGAAAGTGAGAGAAAATCCTTGCAAATTAAGGTACGTTTTTGGGGCCCCCCAGGTCACCAGAACTAGTGTCCCCACTGGAAAATTTCCCCTCTATTACTTTACAGGGGACCCCCCTTTCTATGATGACGGTAAAGTGGATAAATAGAGAGGGTGAATCTCCCTAACGAGGACACAGACAACAATAAAGACCCGAGAGGTCTTCTAATCCATCTCCATTCTATCCAAAACTAAAACAAAGTTTGCCTTTAGTTATACTCTAACAACAAAGCAAAATAATCTATTATATCCAGACAGTAATCAGCATTAGCCTGTATTAAACGCCACAATCATGTTGTGTGACTATGTAATGGATCACTGCCGTTCTCTTTTTTCCTATACATTATTATAGGTTTACTAGCCTAGAACTAGGCATAACATCATTAAATAAATTGGTCACATAAAAGTTAGCACCTGAAGGCCTATGCTACTCTTATACTAGCACAATTGTGAGTCAATTTCAACCAATTTTAACCAGCTCTTGATTGCAAAAAAAAAAAGTAAATGGATCAAGCCAACCTACCGACAGATTCTCTTAAGTAAAATGGCTGAAACTGTTGGTGACAGGTTGACCTAAACCATTAGATCACATTTGCAATTAAAGGTTAGTTGAAAGAGGTTGAAATTGCCTGGTATCTTTCCATAATTGTGGCACAAATCTTAGCAAATCTGAATTGCCCTGTTATGGTAGCACCAAATTATTGCTGGGACAGGCAGTGCATATCATAAATGAAACGGAAAAGCAGCTACAACATTTCTTAAAACCAACTTGAAAGTATATAGGAATGTGGTTTTCACAGTATTAAGGTGAACAGGCCTAAACAGAGACCAACTTTACACTTTTTTATACTGTATAGTTATTATACAGGATTTATGTAGCGCCAATAGTTTGTGTATAGTGTGAAGAAGCACTGAAACATCAGCTTTATGTATTCATATTATATTTTAGCATACAAGAAAGAATACTCCATTTAAAATGTGCCAGATTTCCAGTTTTATGTTGACTTTCAGGCCCAGAACGATTGAAAAAAAAAAAAAACCTGTAATTTTATTTTCCTTAACAAGGATTGTTGACTATTGTGTATTAGAAAAATACATGCATACATACAACTTAAAATGTCCCTGAGCACAACAGATTTCATCCACTTCCATAATTTGGTAGGCAGCCACTAAGAAGACATGTTCAAGAATCAACATTACTTCTTAATTGCAAAAGAAAACAAAAAATTCATATGCAGCCAAGAATAGTAATTAGCACTCAGCCAGCCAAGACTGTGCAGTGCTCACCCTTATTATTTTCACTATACCATAGGAAAAGCTACAGGACCTACATTGCCAGGCTCTGCTGTAGACGTCCTAAATGGGTATAATAAAATATTACTGGCTTCAAGTATCCAGCAGCTGTTAAAATACCAAGGATCATATCAGAACATCTGTCAGTATGTCAACCACCTGTAGCCTTGGCCTCTGGTTTGGGGTTTCATACCTTGGATTTCTCCTGGTGTAGCTCTATTTGTATATCTGTTAATTTAGTCCTGAGATCTTCATTTGCAGCTTGAAGAGCAAGTATTAGGGCTTCGGGCTTCTCGCCCTTGTTACGTCCTTTTTTCGACATTCTTGTTTTAAGCGTCTCTGACTTCACTACTTTCAATAGAAAGCCATCATGGGTGGATGTTGGAACTCCTCTTAGGTTAGGATTCCAGGAAGTACAAAGTTCTGCTCTGGTGGAAGCCCTTTAAAAAAAAAAAAAAGCATGCAGCATCAAAATAATATAGGCATTATATATTGTCCATGTGAATTACATCTTTAGAGTTAAAGGAGAACTATTGGTAAATTTAAAAAAAGGTTATTTAACTTCCCATGGAGCCAAGTGCCTATAGCGCTTGGTCCTATTCTGACTGGTGGCCCCGTTGTCTCCTAACACCAAATCCTAATGCTGGCAGTTGCCCCACTCCCTTTTGAGTCCAAATTCTGAGCATTTCTGTGAAGGGAGGTACAGTCAGTACAGATTCAGTGCAGAGCCAGTCAGTACAGAGTGAACAATAAGAGCTGTTTGTTCATTCATAACAGTAAAAGGTCATTTAGAGATTTGGCTCTGTGTAAAGTGTCTGCCAATGCCCTTTATGAAGTAAAAGCAGATGCAGATACATTACACAGAGCTGCAGCTCTGAGTCATCTTTTATTATTATGAATGAACAAGCAGGTCATAGTTACAGATCACATAGAGCATTGTGAGTCTATTAGTGGCTGCCTTCACACATCACACTGGATGGATCACACCGTGCCGGAGAGATGTGTGAGCTTTCAGTTTTATGAATGAATGATCAGCGAGGTCGAGACTCCTGCCATGTATAACATAGCTCGGCAACAGCCTTCGCTCATTCTTAAAACTAAAATATCACACAGCTGCAGTCCTATTTGATCCATCAGCTGGGCTGTACATATGTAAAAGCTGCCACTGATGCAGGTTGTGTTATTTTTTTTGTGAATGGCAGAGCTGGTCTCTGCTGCTAGAGACCAGAGCTGTCAGTTACAAACCCTTCTCCATTCTGATTGTGTTATCAAATGGAGGGAGCAGTTCGCCCACAGATACTTAGAAACCAAGCGACAGATTTGAATGGGACCAAGTGCAATAAGGACTTGGTCAACTGGGCAGTTACAGAACATGTAAAAAAATTTAATGAGAGTTCTTCTTTAACTTAAAGGACCAATTTATTAGTTCAGTACAAACAATGGTGGTTTAATATTACCATTAATATTCAATCAGAACATACATTTTAGGAGGTAAATTTTGGAAACTCATATCTGAATTCTCACGCTGAATGAATTACACCGTGATTAAAGAAGTCAATTGATGTTCAAAGAATTGCCTTCATTATCAACAGAACCTGGTTCATATTTTCTGTTAACTATTTTAGGCCAACCTGGGTCAATTTATGCTGTTTCAAAAACAACAAACAAAAATTCCTATCTCACTTACCAGACGTGAAACAAAACGAATTGTCCTGTCTAACAGTTCACATTAAAACAAGGGGTTTAGTATGCACACATTTGCAAATATATGCATAAGATGCAGAAGCCACTTCACGGAACCACAGTATTTCTGCAGTTCCTAATTCTATAAATTTTGATAGCCTCCAAAGTTGGGGCACATATATGGAAATGGATAGATTAAGAGCAGGTATGCCTTGAGGAAGCCCACCCCTCCTTAAAACCAGTCATCAGGTTATCCTTAGTATAATTCTAAAAAGATTAGAAGTTAAAAGCAAATGTAGCACTACCCCCTTAGGGGTTGCTAAAGAACCAGTCCTTGAGCTTTGGTTTTGTTATTTATTGAGGGGATTAGAACTTGGATAGGGTAAGGGGGGTATAGGATGCCCAAGGGAACCGATAATTAAGGACAACTTCCTGAAACTATTCACAAGCTTTTCTTCTCTGATGCAGTCTCTGTTGGAGTGCTAGCCAGCATCTCATAGTTGTACTACCCCAGACCTTAGATGAACTCCTCTTCACCCAGCAATCTGGAGACATTCTTCCTGAGCAGGAGATCTGGCTCCTGTTCCTTTAAATGAGGTGAACAGTCACTAGCAGAGGGCTAATCTGGGCTAATCTGGTTTTCCACCAGAGTGTTCCTTCCCCTATCCGCCCAGGAGGTTCAGGTGACTCACTCAGATCCTCTCTCTTGTGGAATAGCTGCTGCTACCAGGCCTATCAGCTGGGCTGCTCCTTCCCTGCCATGGTCCTCTCTCAGGGGGCCAGTAAGTCCCAAGTTTTCCTCACTCTAGGCCTCCTGGCAGCTTCCTTCCTCCAACCTCACATCCTCTCCTTCTTTCATCTGACTCCTCATACTCCTCCCACTGAGCAGGCTCCTACACGATTAAGGGTGTACATCCTCTTGCCAAGCCTTCTGTTTGGGATTGGCTAGGACCCCTCAAGAGTGCAGCAAGCCACTCCTCAGATCGACCCACTGCTTCCAAGGCCCTCCTCCAAAAGCCTCAGAGCAGGTGGAAATTCCAGAGGGGCTTGGCCTGCAGAGTCTCAGCCCTGACCACAATTTGACCCCTCTGGCTATTACACCTGAGCCACTAACAACTCCCCTAGCTAAACTGCAGTGTTTTTAGGTGTTTGTACACTGCCCTTATCAACCTTAAAGTAAAAAAATTACATTCTATGATTCATTATATTATACAAATTATTTTTCAGGAAAAGATCAAATCTTTCCAAAAAAATTAAGTATCAGAAATACCCTGAAGGCAGTGTTGCTAACTTGCCTCTTTATTTATTGATACATGAATTACACAGGTGTTGAGGATGATATAATGTAGGCAAGTCACAGTTTGAATTTAATTACCACAACATCTTTATCACTCAGATATCTCAGTAATTTAAGGAATGAATTGGGTTGACAGGCCGCACACATAAATTGTGAGCTAGTTAGCAATGCACTAGCTATATCATGTTGATCTTAAAGTAGGCAAAACAATTTTTTTTTCAATTTTGCATAGAGTAGGGTTGTATCTCCTGTCAGATTTTTTCTTGCCATCTGTGACCCATTGCAGAGATTTCCTTTCACTTCTGGTCTCATAGCCAAACAGGAAGTGGGGGAAATCCCTGAAAATTAAGACAATTCCTTGGGACATCCCAGGTTACCAGAACTAGTGTCCCCATTGGAAAATTCCCCTTCTATTACTTTTCTGGGGATGACACAAAATTAGGGATTTTCTTTTACTTTCAATGATAATGGTAAACAAAACAAATAGCGAGGACAAATTTCCTTAATGGGGACACAGTAATAAAACCTGACAGGTGTTCTAATCCCTCTCCACTCCATCCAAAACAGAAAAAAAAAAGCTTTGCCTTTAGTTATACTTTAATTTTTAGGATCTATAATATACATTAATCATTTAAAAAATGTGTAATTTGCGACATAATTAAATTCACTGATGATGAGATGTCGCTGCATGCACTTCTACATAGTAGAATTTGGAGTTGTTGTGCCTATTAGCCTTGGATATTCACTGGCAACAGCTTCACAAATGATAACTACTGTATATCAGGAAGAAGAAAGGCATTAACAACAAAGTTAAAAGGCTACAGTGCTACAGTGCCTCCGCCCCGTTCACACTTCACATAGCAGAAGCTTGTGTTCCGGCTTGCTACTTTGTGTGGATGATTGTCATGTGATTTCGAGGGTTGTGCACAGGGCAGCCCATTCACTTGAATCGGCTGCCCCATGCGAGTTTGTAGCAGCAAAGAAGCTCTGGGACCAAAATGTAGCCTTGAGCCAGGTGTATTTTTACAAGGGCATTTTACAATTACTGCAAAGTCATGTTGGGAGGCCATTCAATATGAATGATACTCAAATGGGCCCTGTGCATCTTGCTGCAATTTGGAATCGCAAAGTGTGAACCAGATCTAATTAACTGGTATAATGCAGGCCATACATGGGTCGAATTCCGAACGCATTTCCTTTAGAAAATCTGAAATTTTGTGCATTTTGTAATCCGATGGTGCCACCACTGATTTCGAAATTCAACCAGCCAAGCCTTCAATTTCACCTCATGTTGCTACAGAAAAGAATTTTCACGGCTGGGAATTTTCTTTTCTTTCCAGGTCACAGCTCACGCTTATTTCTTTTTTTGTTTATATTTCCCGCACGATTCTCCCATCATTAATTCGAAATTTGTTTTTTTTTTTTTTCAAAAAAACACTCAAATTCGATGGTCACCCGAAAATCAGCTGTTTCTGTGACTCATTAATGGTGCGAAATTCAAACAAAAATTCTAAGAAAAGATTTTCGAAAGAAAATTCTTTTGGAATTGAACCCGTGTATGGCTGGCTTAAGTATGATCTCAATCAAAAGGGATCTAGGGCAATACAGTAACTAACCCCACCTGGTGCACTAACATCCATTTATCAGCCTATTTCCATGCATTATTCTAAGCTTTTCAGGCTTTGTAAAGCTATGGCACGCCTTCACTGCTATGTATTTCCCAAGGGCTACATGAGCTGACTATATTATATCCAATATACAAACCACTATTTTTATCCAGTACTTTTAGATTTACATATTTCATAATTCTGGGTATATTCAAGAACATACCTTCTCAAACTACAACAATGTAACCCTATTTAGAAATCAAAGAATGTTTTAAAAAAAGTCAGCAAAGTTAGTAAAGTTATTAGTTTTATAAGTAATATGTAATGACTATCTATAACTAGGTATAATATGTGATCTTGGGAAAAAAGTTTTATGTTATGTGGCCTTTTAAAGTGGACTCTGAGAGCAATACAGCTATTTCAAACCCCATTTATTAAACCAAAGTACCAAACACCCCTCTATGACTAAGCCCCGGGAGTGGGACGAAACGCATCGGGGTGATGGCATAGTGGAGCTGAGGCATGCATCTCACTGCTATTACACATTGAGCTGCCAGTGTTCAGAGCCTTCACATGGTATAGCCAGCATGCTTTCTGAGTGAGCATTTTTAGACGCCAGCTCTCCACTTGAGTAGTGGATCACCAGAGAGGCATTACATAGAGTGGCACTCCAAGATACTATAACAAGTCACCCCGGAGTAATACTTTGCACACACAAATGTCGGGCTCCATCTG